GATGATGGTGATGATGGTGATGATGATGGTGATGGTGATGATGGTGAGGATGATGATGATGATGATGATGATAGTGATGATGATGATGATGATGATGATGGTGAGGATGATGATGATGATGATAGTGATGATGATGATGATGATAATAATAATAATAATAAAAGCTAGTGATTCCAGGTTGAATCAGTCCAACATATCAAGGCTAGGGGCTTTGGGAATATATAGGGTGGGATGAAAAAAGAATGAGAAGAGTTTCTGTGTAGTTTGAAGTTTGTTTAACCTCATGAAAATGTCATGCAAAATAGCACTGGTCCTTTGGGAGTCAACTGTTCATATGTATTTTGTAAGAGAATCTGCCCAAGTAATTCTAGTAATGGAGCTTTCCTCAAAATGGGAATAGGATAGGACACCTTCTGCCAAGTGGGCCAGAGCTGTTCCCAGGTCTGACCACCAGCCATGACACCCAGGGGTTCAGGCTACCATGCCTTTCTCCTCCAGAAAAAAGTCAACATGGCAGGGCTGCCCCTGGGGACCTTTGCCGTCTGGGTTAGAACAACCAGCACTTAGTGGAAAGATAAATGGATCTGGAACCAAAGGCCTGAGGTCTTGGATTCTAATCATGCACTGTGCTGTTGATTGATCTAGCATGTGATCACTTAGCTCCTCATCTATAAAATGGAGTGACTGAAGTAAATGATCTCCCAGGCCCCTTCCAACTCTAAAGCCTATGGCATTATGAAGTATTCTTCCCATTGCTCAGAGAGAAAAACTGAGGAATTGAAGGGAACTGGAAGGACAATGAATGTAATGGCAAAACCAGAATATGCCTCTGGCTTCTCTCACTAAGACTTCATTTATCTTTTAAATTCTAAGAGTCCCTATATTGTATTGTTCTCAGCTCATTCGGTTTTTCTTCTTAAAGGTTCTCCAGGAGCGACGGGCTCGTTGTGAGACACAGAACACTGATCCAGTGGTCTGGACAAATCAGCGGGTGCTCAAGTGGGTACGGGACATTGACCTGAAGGTATGGAGCTTCTGGGGAGCTGATAGGTTAATGGTTATGCAAATGTTGGTACACATCAATATTTTCCCAGGTTTGAGCCATTAACTAGTACTCTTTGATAGGCTCCATCAAGCAATAAGCATTTATTGAGCGCTTACTGTATAGTGAGCACCCTGACAAGTGATGGGGATACAAAGAAAAAAAACAATAGTGTCTGCCCTCAAGGAACTTCTGTTCTAATGGAGGAGACAAAATGTACACATAGGTACATGTGCAATACATACAGAGTAGATAGAAGGTAGCCTTAGAGGAAAGGTTCTAGCATCAAGACTGTAGAAGATAGCACTTTGCTGAGTCTTGAAGGAAGCCAGAGATTCTAGGAGATGGAAATGAGGATGAAAAGTCTTCCAGACATGAAGAACAGTCAATGCAAAGGCTTGGAGGTGGGAGATGGAGTGTCTGTGTAAGGAGCATCAAGTAGGAAAAGATGACTAGACCAGAAAGTGCATGGTGGAAAGGCTACCACACTGGTAAGAAGGAAAAAGATACTGTCCTCCAAGACAGAGCCACACCTGGGGCTCTTGGTCTAATTTTTCTCAGGGTCATTATCATATAGTGAACTTGGTGTGAGGAAACCTGAGTTCAAGTCCTGGCTAGTATATCTACTTAGTTGTGTGATTGTGGATAAGTCTTTAATTTCTCAACTTCATCTATAAAATGAAGATTTCACTTTACATAGAGAAACTATGGAGCTTTCTCCAATCTAAGGGAATAGGGTAGGACCTCTTCAGCCACATGGACCAGTGCTATCCCCAGATGTCACCAACAGCCATGACATACATAGGTGCAGGCTACTCTGCCCTCCTGTTTCAGAAGAGGGTCAGCATGGCAGAGCTGCCCTTGGGATCTATATATTACGTAGACTTCAGTGTAAAAATCTGGTACTCCTTACCTCACAGGGTTATTGTTAAGAAAGTGCTATAAAAAGATGAAATGTCATTATGTCATTATTTGAAGTACTGGAGATGGATGGGACTTAAACATTCACACTCTCTTGCCTGGGCCACTTATGGCTAAAGGAGCACATCTGCCAATGACTGGCAAGGATTAGAAATAGACTCTCCTTATAGACACGCTCAATGGATCTCTGCCCAAGACATGCTAATGACTCACAAAATGGTATACAGTAGAAAGAGCTGAATTCAAATCTACCTCTCACTCTAACTACTTATGTGATCCCGAGTGAGTCACTGAAATTCTCCAGACCTCAGTTTCCTCAGTTGCAAAATGAAAGGGTTGGACTAGATAACCTCCAGGATTATTTCTAGCTCTGCCTTCATCAGTAATCCTAGAGCTCTCTGGTGTTAGAGGTGACATGACTTGCGGAAGACAGAGTTCTTCCTCTGTATGAAGGGAACTAATCCCAAAAGGAAATGGAAACCTTGATCTCCGTTAACATTCTGTGTCAACCCACTGTACCAAGCAGCCCCCAGACTAACCCCCATCCCTGACTATTCGACTCCCCTAGGAGTATGCGGACAACCTGACCAACAGTGGCGTCCATGGAGCAGTGCTGGTCTTAGAGCCCACATTCACAGCAGAAGCCATGGCAACAGCCCTGGGCATCCCCAGCGGAAGGCACATCCTTCGGAGGCACCTGGCTGAAGAGATGAGCACCATCATCAACCCTGCCAGGTGAGTGTGACACCTCTGCCTCTTTCTGAGGCCTTGGGGGTAGACAGAAGGGGGCAAGACAAGATGCTCCAATTTAGGAGCTAAGAAAGAACACCTGGGATGCTGATGTTGGTAGTATGGAGCCTTCCTTTCCTGTATTTGTGGGGAAAGAAAGAAAGAAAGAAAGAAAGAAGGAAAGAAAGAAGGAAAGAAAGAAGGAAAGAAAGAAGGAAAGAAAGAAGGAAAGAAAGAAGGAAAGAAAGAA